CGAAGCACCAATGCCCATCCTCCGTCCGTCTGCTTAGCATTTGTCAATCATTAATCACGCAATTTATGTTAATTGAATTGACGTCGATTTATGGCAATTTTTCAATCAGATTTCCGCAGCATTTCCCTTTTTTGTTGTGCCTGGTGTTCCGTCCCTAGCTTGAACTGTCAGTTTCATATTGATTCTGCATAAAAAACAAAATAAAAATCAAAATCAAAAATCCAACCAAACGACCCCCCACCACGACGACGACAAGGACGATGGCTATGATGATGATGATGACGATGACGATGTGACAATAAAACGTCCGCAGTGCCCATCGCTTGGCCATGGCCATAAAATGTAGCCATGGATGCATGAGCATAAGCGCTTTAACTGCAGTTCTCCCCTAGTTTTATGGACAGTGCGTTGCATAAGTGTAGTGCAGTGATGATTTGAATTGCGGGGATCTAAAGGCTATTACCTAAAGCTCTAAAATTGCGCGGCTTCCATCAAATGGCAAAGGAAAATGTCATCAAAATAAATTAAACATAAAATCATTCCTTTTAGCCAATCACTGTTTTAAAAAATTCAAAATAAGGGAAGTGTAAATTTCTCAATTTAAATCAGTTGCTACACCTTATATTATGTTTTATATTATATTATATTGAACACTTAATACCTTGTATTATAGCACAAATCAGCTAAAACAATTGACCCAGTTAGCCACGCACACCAGTACCCACATTCTCCCACACACTCACACAAGGATAGTGTGTGTGTGTGTGTGTATTTCCGTTGGGTGGCACAAATTCAAGTTTATCCAATCGTAACGAAAGCCTAACACAAGCGGACCTCCTCCGCAACCGAAGCGCCCATATTTGTTTAGCTTGATTACAGACCAAATGTGATTTAAGGCACGTTAAATACACACAGACACGTTTCCACCCACGCGTGTGTATCTGTATGTGTGCTCCAAAATTGTCATGAGAAGGCGAGGGGTGGGGGTCCTACGGTCCACAATCAAAGCTCAGACAACAACAATTTAGAGCCAATCGGACGGACGGTCGTAAGTGGAGTCGTGTCCTCTGGTCAGCTGCAGCTTCACGTCCTGCGTCCTGCGTCCGTCCATCTCTAATGGAGCCGTAAAATATGCAGGCACACGCCCCCCACATTCGCCAACCGCCCACCTATTTCCACTTACCAACAAGAAGGCGACATTTACTTGTTATTCCGCATTTCCAATAACCGGGAATGCATTGTGGCATAATGGTCAGTGTCAAAAAAGTACAACTCTTGACGAATGTTTTTAAAAATGTACTAATACTTTTTTAAAACATGTTGGCCATTTAGAAATTAATAAATAAAACGCATTCAGCGGTCGTACAAAGCCTCAAAATCCCGAAAAGAAAAATATGGTAAAAACATTCTCATTGAATGCATAAAACATTTAACAAAACAAATATGCAAGCTTTGGATGAATACATATTTCAGTTCAGGACTGACTACCAATATTAGCATTGCCAATATCAAATTTTGATAAAACTGATGTATCATTGGAAGTGGAATTCGAAGCGTTGAATTAGCATTCCCAGCAACCAAAGGTGCACTTAATCACCGAGAGAACTGAGAAGAACTGCAGCCCGGCGGAGATGCAATGTGCTCGGAATGCCATCCGGAGTGATGCCACTCATCCTGGTGCATTCTGGTGCTGTGATTCTGGTGTTGGGTCTCTTCCGTTTCCGGGATGCCGCTGAAACCACAGTCAAAACAAACAAACACGGGGATACGGGGCCTGTCAGAGCTGGTTCAAGTATCCACCTGCACTGGAAGAATAATGGGTGGATTGAGCATGCTAATCACAGGAAATTGATTGGGGTAATCCCACATTCCTTCAGTTTCCTTGTTATTGCAATAGGGCAGACGTACTAAGACGCTCTAGTTGTAATGCCTTTTCTGAAAGCTATCTAGATATTTGGATTTGATTTTGAAGTGTACTTCCTTGGTCGTGTTTCGCACAGTGCTGCAATCTCCGGGTGAGTGTATTGAGGTTGAGGGGCAGCTGATGTTGATGCCACCTTCGGTTAACTGGTTGTTACGGCGACCTACTGCTGTTGGATAGTTTGTGGTCTCGTCTTGTAATTGAGCCGAAGTTTTCCGTTTTAATGCATACTTTTAGCTGTGCTTCTGGCCTGGCTAAATGACAAATCGTTGCGGGCGAGAAACTCCAGGTGCTGCGTGGGTGGGGGATTCGTACAAAAAGATGACCAAATCCCTTGATTTGTGTGCGTGCCGATGCCAAATTGCTTAATCTCCCTTCGCACGAATACTTGACCCAATTTTTAATCACTTGCCGAGCACACATGCTCTCATTCCGTCCGTCCGGCATAAATTTGTGTCTTAAAACTTTCCACCTGGCCAAGGAAAAGTTTGGCTTGCACGTTTTAAGCTTCCCCTGCAGAGTAACCGTCCGAAACAAGCTTAAAAATTGTGAATAATGCCAAACTGGCTGAAACGGCCCAATTCGAGATGGAATATGGAATATATTTACTCGTAATTTGAAAGGACAATATTTTGCTTTTGAAGATATTGCAAAAATTGTTTGTCAACGCAAAACAAATAAGCTTAACAGTATCTGCAAAATGTTTTGGTATTTTAGAAAATAACAAGTCCATACTTTAGTTTTGTAACGCTGTAAATGCTTTCATTTTTCCTGCAATTAATTTATTAAAATGTAATTACTGTGTTTTTTGTAGATGAGCATCCCTAGTAGCATTTCGCATTTCAGCAATATGTGCAATGTGCAGCAAAATACTCTAAAAACACATTTGTCCAGCACGAAACTGAAACAAGGAGGCCAGTCCAATTGTGTGTGAGCTCTGTTCTTTGACTTTTTTGACTGTTTTGACTTTTTTGGTGTGTGGGCGCAAAGTTTCTAACAATAATAAGCAAATGCCCAAAAGTGAGCAGTGGGATCCAGTTGTTTTTGTCTCCACTGCTACAATTGCCAGCACTAAAAGTCCCCTTCACAATGTTCGTACGAGTGTATACACGTATCCCCACCGTTGTATTTGCTGCAAATACGATTAAATATGGCAAAAGTTGTGCGTACACACACGTCGGCCATTTTATTTAGATTGCAGGAGGGGAAAACAGGAACGGAGCAACGACAACGACAACATTGAGGTCGTCGTCGTGGGGCCCTCAAAAATGTTTGGCTAACTGGAAGAAACATTTAACTACTTGCAATACTGTGTAATGCGGGATAATGCAAAGAAAGTGCTACATTTACTTATAGGTTAATCCAATTTTAGCAATACTTAGGGCTAATTCTTTGCTTATAGTTTGTGTAGCGCCTTTTTAAAATTGATTTAAGGACCTGCCTTGAATATTTTATAAAGAGCCTTAAATATGCTGGGCTATACTGCAGTTGAAAAGCAAAAACTCTTTTCGCAGTGCACGTGTGCGTTGCTAACAAGGCCAACACGTGTTTTGTGTTGTGAGGCTCGGTGCACAGAAAGCACAGCAATTCTGTTAACAATTTTATTATTAAAATGATGTCAGTGCCTCAGTTCGCTTTCCGCCCTCTTCCTGCGGCTCGGCAATTGACCACAAATGCATTAGTGGCGGAAGCCCCACTTTCACCTACATACTTCCCAAGGCGAATTACACAAAAATTTGCAGCACTCCATGCCATGCATAGATAAATAGGAGAATGTGTGGACGCCAATCTCTGTGGTAATCCCCAGATGACCTACAAGTTGTCGGACAATGTTGTAGAATTGCGCACGGCTTATTTTGGGCTAATTGATTTAAATAATTTATATGCGCTGCTCTTTCTCGTTGCTTTACCTTATTTTGCCATACAGGATGGGTGCTGATTTGGATTAATACCTATATATTTCGCTAGGGACCATAGATTTTCCAGTTGTTACATGGGAAATAAAGTAATTAAATAGAAACAAATTGCCACTGACATTTTTCCCCCAAAGTGCTATGTATATCACTGGGTATTAACCCTATGCACTCAACGCAGCCTTCTACATTTACATTTTTATGCGATTTGCACCCTCGTCTGCATTTGCTCAGCTTTAGGCTATCGAAAACGCAAGTGGATAGCTCGCCGTGCTCTTTTTAGCCCCGCCAAACAACCTGATTATATAGCCAACCGTTCACAGCTCCTGAGCAGTTATTACGTTTTACTTATTGCATTTTTCAGCTCTTTGCATTTTCGCTCGAGCTTGCAAAACGATACAGGAGCGGGAATGGAAATGGAAATGGAATGGGGATGGGGGATGGTAACGAGGATTCAAGGAGCCCCAGCATGTGGCTCACATGACATCTGGCCAGGGGGTGATCACAGTAGTCGTGAGGGGGATGGGGGGCAGGATGGCACCAAGGACGAACTCCTGCGGAGCTAAGCTCACTGCACTTGGCCATTGTTTGTTTGTTTTTACAACTCTGATTGAGGTGAAATTGCATATTTCTGTGCGCTTCTTTCATTTCATTTCACTTCGCCGTCTGCAGCTCCTTCCCTGTATTTCTGTAATATTTTCAAACGTTTTATTGAATGTCGCTTACCGACAGCACTGCTTGCCATTCCTGGCTTTTCCTCTTGCCAGGTACCCATTTTCAGATTCATCTCCACATTTCCTCTGGCGTGCACCTATTTTACCAGTGTTTTCCACGCCTGCATTGGCTTTGTGTTTATTGTGCGAATAAATGTCAACAATAGAGAAATGTACGTGGATTGCCGAGCGATTTGGAAGGCGGGGTTATTGGAAAATTCTCCTGGCGATTTTACGGTGGCCGTTTTATAAAGAAATCACCAAGCACTTTAATCCATTGCAGCAGAGAGTTGTTAATGGTTCAAATGGACTAAACTAGTCAATTCGATTAACGATAGGTCGTAGAACCCCGTCTCAGTAAGCCTTGACAAATGCTTCAAAACACTTAATGTCGAGAAGGTCTGATCGTACTCGTAAATATACAGAAACTGTTCTAAAACATTTATTATAAAAAGCCAAAAAAACAAAAATACAGCGAAAAAGTTTAACGACCATGTACAACTGGATTCAGGGCCTACACAATAATGAACGCCAGGGGGAAAATGAAGGTAATACTGGAAAACTAGCGTTCGAAGGTACAGTGAAGCTAAATGCCAATGCCCAAGAGTTTGTGCCACGTTTTAAGAGGGAAGATTCGTCGAAACCTGATGCTGTAGTTGGTAACAGTAACATAAACAACATGTTGAACGACGGCCAAAAAATAAAAACCAAACTTATGTTGCCGTGGAAAGGATTTCCCAATAGATCTGAAAAACGTAAAGTTCTGCACACTAAAGTAATATTTCATAATATATTACATTTATCTGTTATTTTAGTGACTCGCGGCCCTCAGGTGGTTTTGCTAGGCGATGTGGAGTATAAAGTCTTACCGCGCTCAAAGAGATTGAAATGGCCCATTGAGGACAAGCTACATGTGGAAAATGATTCCACTAGCTCCACAAATGCAAATTCTAATGCTCCGGCTACGGCTCCTGCTGGAAGTCGCCTTTATTTCGAGGAAAAGCGCCGGGAACACGAGCGAAAAGTAGCTGTGGAAGCCCTAAAATTGGCCGAACAGCGACGCATGAGGGATCCTTTGATAGCCCCGATGAAAGGCAGTGGAAACTCGAAGGACGTGCAACCCATTATACATCTCTCACGATCTCCAGTAAGATTCACGCCGGAGGAAAGAATAGGAGTAACCCGTTTGAGGGCTGCGAAGAGGGAGCGTATCGAGCGCATCCTTCGCGAAATGACAAACGGGAAGCAGGCGGCACTAAAGGAACAGGAGCTCCAGGAGGATAAGACTTGTGTTGATGCTGAATCTAAAGAGCCTAATAAAGCTCCTAATAAGGAGCCTAATAAAGAGCCTAATGACCAGCAGTCGGAGAAGAAAGAGGAAGCTCCCGTGGTAACCAAAAAGAGGTACATACCCACCACCAAGGAATGGGACGAGCAATGCCGCGCCAGACAACTGGCTAAGATGGAGGCTCAAAAGCAAAATCAAGTGGGTGTCCAGGATGCGAGCCCTGCGCTGTCGTCATCTGAATCCGCTGTTTCATCAAAGCAGCCACTGATTAAATCCAATGTGGTCAACATAAGTCCATCGGGAGTTATTCGTCTGGGGGATGCGAGGGGCACAACCCAACCTCGCTACTGTCCACCCGCCAAGCTATTGGATGCGGAGAAGCGCAGGGGCAATCTCACCCACTTCCGACCCCTTTCCAACTGGCCAATCCGTCGAAGCCTGCAGGTCCCATTCAAGATCCAGCTCAATCAGAGGGGAAAGATCGTGCAGCGCTATACCATCGACCAACTGCTGCTGTTGGAGCCGCAGCCTGAAGACCTTGAGAAGCCCCAGGTGGATGAGGCCCTGTTGGGCTTGGGGTTTCTGTGCGATTCATTTAAGCGCGCTTCGTAGATGCACTCAACTTCGTTTGATTTCGAACCTATTGATTTAAAACATTTTACCTTTTCCAATCGCTTCACTTGAATGTCTGAAATAAACCTTACTTCAATGCCGCTAGACTGTGATGTAAATAATGCATAATTAGCATTTTGAAGATTTCCGTAAGGCTGCGAAAAAACTCATTTATTACCGATGGTTACTGCAAATGGATGCACAAACGCGTTGGCATTTTTGAGCTTTCTGCACTTTGACCCGCGTAATTGAGACCCCATTTGGCCATGTTATTGGTGTTGCTGTCAACTGCAACTGCAACGGCCAGGTGCAATAATTTTAATGCCATTATTCTGCTTATTATTATCATGCCTACTGTGCGCAACTCCCGGCCCGTGCATATATTAAATTTCACTGAAAATTTGTTTTAATTTCATTAAACGGGAGAGGGAGCAATTTACACATCAGTAGAGAGTCCGCCGGTGCACTGAAATAAATTTTGCAGGACGAATTCCCTGCGGGCCCATGTAACCGAGGCCGAAGCGCAAAAATATTGACATGTGGCTATGGCAACGATTGCTGCTGGGTTTTCAGAGGGTCGAAGGGTCGGAGGGTCGTAGGTCACGGCAGTGGGGAAAGGGAGTGCTGGAAAGGGGGATCCTGTGGCAGTATCATATAACGCGCAGACATTGCCCTTGTCATTTTTGCTGTTGTTGTGGCTCGGCCCGCACTGCGCAAATAAAGCGGAAAATTGTGTGTTTTTCAGGACTTGTTTTTTGCGTGTTCGAAATAAAAAAACAATGAGCGAAATACAAAAAGTACACGCAATCAAATGCATTTCACTGCTCCGCGTGCGTCTGTGCATGTGTTAAAATGACCTTTGGCTTTTATTGTCGCCCGCTTTTTGCTGCACTCTACTTCCTCCGCCTCGTACCAATTCTTTGACCTTTCTGGATCCCCTCTCACTTAGTTTGTCGGCCTGGCTTCCCTTGCTCCCTTGCTCCATTGTTTCATTTACAGTGGGTGTTACTCACAATTTCATATAAGATATATAGAAAAACAAATCTTAGATGTTAGCTTTCCATTGCTAATTTAATGATTACTAAAGTTAAGTGCAACAAAAATGCAGTGAATAATAAAGCTATCTGATTATTTTGGCCGAAAAGCTGGTCCAGAAATTGCTCGAAAGTGCCCCGATTCTGCGCTTATTTAACTGTTTTCATTCAACTTTTTCCAGCTCCAAGCTGTTGCGTTAATTGCATATTTAAATTTATGCTGTTAATTGTTGGCAGCCCACGAGGAGCCGGATGCATTGCCCTCATTGCCAGTCGCCCGGCTGAGTTATGTGCGCCCGGCCAATGTGAATCCGCGAATTCTCTCCGCTGACTGAAAGCCATCAACAGCTCGGTTTGATGTGTGTGTTTCCGCGGGGTGTGTGTGTGTGGGTGCCGGCTGGGGGTGGGGGTGGGCGTGTCTGCCGCCCCAATCGTTACATTTCGAGGTCTGAACAAGTAAAGTGGGAAAAGCCTCCCAGAGCGCCTGAAATGCCTGATTGTCTCTTTAACAAAAGCCAATTGCCTTTAAAGGCTCAGCAGTCTTACACATGTTGCATAATTAATATATGTTTTCTATATTTTTATACATCAGATATACATTTGAATTGCTATAAGTTTGTTGCTGATGTATAATGTATCTACAGCATAATGAACTAAAGGCAAATACTCGAGATTGCAGTTTCTTCTCGGCACTTTTGCTTCCTTCGCAATATGTTCTTCAGCGAAAGAAATACGCTTTTTGGGCTGATAGCAGCTTGTGGAGTTGAGTCACGCCACTTTTTGCTGGACCAGAAGAAGCGAAAATCCGAGGAGCTGGGCTCACATACCGCACGATGTGTAAGCTGATTAAAGCCGCAAATTTGTAGCGCGCAAAATGAGGATAAGGATACGAGGGGAGAGTTTAGCAGCAGCAGATCGATTGGCAAACACTTTGTCGCACTAATTAAGCCACTTATGGGTGGACCGAGGCCTTGGCAACTCCTCCTTAGCCCAGCTTGTCACCCGGTCGTATGCGTAATAAATATTGAATGCAGCACCAGCGATAAGCTCTTGCCGGCAAAGGCCAAAGTTTTGCATCAAGTATTCCCTTTTTGGCCAGCCGTGTGGGTCACTACGTGATCCTCGAAAGAAGACGTGACGAGCTGCGGAGCCCGCACTGAATTGCCTTAATTTTGGTGCTTCCGCCGCCGTGTGCAAAGTGGAAAGTGCAAAGTTCAAAAGGAGGCTGCTTATTTTTCATCCTCGTAAAATGCTGTGCTTGCAAAAGGAGGTTGTACCTTTGCGTTGCCTGTCATGCCAAGTTTACGGTGGCTAAAATTAGTTTCTTTCGAAAAACATGAGCTCCACATTTGCGTAGCAGTAGGAAACTAACCGACACTCATTATAATCTTCGATTGGGACTTTACAAAAATGTGCAAGCAACTCAAAAAAGTGTCCTTAATTAGCCAAGCCTACTTTTTCTATTTACAAGCAAACGCTTTATTGTCAGCATGAAGTTTTTGCTGTGAAAATTTGTCTGACGGAAGGGTTTGTGTGGCCAAAGGTGCAACATAATATTGCCGTGTTGTCACCGATTGTTGTAGCTGCCCCATGTTTCCTGTTTAGACGTGTTGTTATTGCAGCTGACTGCTGTTTGTTGTTATTGCCGGAGAACGGGCCATCCCATCATCAACATCATTGTCGGCACCATCAGCGTTGATGGCTTGTTAAATGGCCTGTTTCACCTGTTCCCGTTGTTGTTATTGTTGCACGTGTAACCTGAATGTTGCTCTATTTTCAAATGTGCCTGTGTGTGTGTGAGTGTGGACGTGTGCTGCTGCTGTGGAAGTATGCGTGTCTGGTTCTTGGCTCGCATACATTATGCACATTAGCGCACATTATGAACATGTTCGCTGTGACCCTTTCACGAAAACATGAAAAATCAGGGGCCCCGAAAACTGAAACTGACTGGACTGAAGCGACAGTTCGTGACCTGATTGGCAACTAGCCAGCCAGCCAGGGGCCCGAAAATGATTTTCACTCTTAAATTAGTCGGGCAGCTGCCGTTTGAGAAATTAAGTCAACCATCTGGGCACCTGTACCTGTCATGTTTTTGACCCACCCAACTCCCCCAATCAGGCCAGGCTAAGTGTTTACGTGTGCACTTTAGCCATCATCAAAACCTGGCCATCGGATGCTGGCTCAGCGCCGTGAAAAGTGCGTTGAAGTATTGGCATCGCTCGGAGCTCGAAAAGTGCTGCCTGCCAAACTCTAAAAACTTTAAAAGGTTTGAAGTGTTGGCCTAAAGTGTCACTAGTGTCACTAAATCGATAACTTCTGCAGAGGGCATTCTTAGATTTGTTAAAATAAGCCAATAATTTGCTTGGGTAAGTAATGCAATGCAAAATTCTTGCAGTACATATTTTGTAGTATTAAAAAGTAATTATAGAATTGCAGCTTTATGAACTTTTTTTGTAAAAGTAGTACACATAAATGGCGCTTAAAACGCTCATGGAAATTAAAAACCGTGCAAAGTCCACACAGCTTTACATAGATAATCCACGCTGAGTTGCAATTATTCCCTTATTAAGAGTTGTCAGGCAGTGCGAACTGTTGCCAGTTTAAAAGCTACTTAAATGCACTTAAATATGCCCCCATTAAAGCCCCAGCCCCTTTTCCATCGACCTCCGACCTGCGACCTCCGACCTGCGAACCTTTTGTGGCCATAATTATCGCTGGAAATGGCTCCGGCTCAATCGATGGTGAAAAATGCAGACACAAAAAGTCGCACATGACAATGAATGTTAATTGCATGGGTGTGCTGTCTCTTTCTCCCGCTCATTACCCCTCTCGCTCGCTCTTTCTCCGTCTGCCCGTCTGCCAGCAAGTAAGTCTGAAATTTACGCGCTCAAATTATGTATAATAAATGTAATACAATAACAGACACATTTGCATGAAGTGAAGCCGCAAATGTTAGTGACGACTGTGTGATGTGAATTTTCGTTTTAATGTGGTAAAAACAATAAAAAGATCAGCGAGTGTCGGCCATGAGACTGAAGCTCAACTGGGGAAAGAAAAGCTAATGGAAATGGAATATTTTCAATGAAGGACGTGAGCTGCACCTGCATCCCTTTGGCTGATTAAAGCTACAGTGAAGCGATTAATTGAATGCCTTAATGGTAAAATACGGATTTATGCAAATAAAAATTCTTGCCATTTCAAAGAAGTTACCAGTGTTAATATTACCTTATTTTAATCCTCTCTTGCCTTTTATTCAAATATTTCCTGTGAATTGTGTCATTAAATAGTTGTATGCCATCATCGCCTATTGGTCTAAATTAATACTTTTTTTGCTTCTTCCAATGCTTCCTATTATGCCAATTGTAATCAGATTTCATTAATCCCGCATTGAGAGCTTTTATGCCATTGGTTAGGCAAGTACTTTTCCGCATTAATGGCAATAAAATCTATTTGAAAAGTTGCACTGCAAAAAAAGTTAATTATCAGTGCACAGCGACTATCGAATTACTGAAAGGACCCGGAAAAATAAGAATTGAAGTTAATTTTGATACAGGAAGTTAATTTTGATGTTAGCAAAATGTGTAACAGCTTCAATGTCAGCTATTTTATTTTATAAGTAGTTAATAAAGCTTGTATGTACGTAGGTCTTTCACAGGAGTGTAGCAAATAAGGTGTTTTCGCGACTAAATTCCCTCAATATTTTCTACCTTCATTAAATAGCGAACATAGCTCCTATACATATAGGAGTGTGGCCATATGGCCATCCAGTCAGATTGGAACTGGCTCTCATTAAGTTGACTTTAAGCCGCATTGCGCTTTGGCCGCATTAATCCTCTTGTTCAGTTTTCATTACATTTGCGCTTATCTGCATAATTGAAATGAATGTTAAAACGTTATTTGCCGTTTTAAATGCCGATAAAAGTATGCGTAAAAAACGGATATATACCGGACATGTATTTATATAAAATAAGTGCACGAATGTGCAATGACATATGAAAAACATATCATTAATTTTAAATAACCAAATTAAACAATTAATTGCCAAAGACTTGGCCACCCCGCAAAAGTCC